GTGGATGAGGTCTCTGAGGAGATGGGGGCGGGGGGCACGGGGGGCTTTTTTATCCTCCAGCTGCTCAGGGAAAAGCAAATACAGCCTCGGCATGAGCAAACTCTGTTTACATTGATTAGTGTGGGATATGGGCTGACTTTGAATTTGGTCCCTTGGCTTTGAAACTTGCTGCCGCTATGCCTCTGCAGCAGTCTACAGGCATCCTAATTGGCATGAGGGACCTAAATGAGGATTCCCGTTCCCCCGTCTCTCCTGCAGAAGCAGCATCAGGCTGTGGGAAGAAGCATTGTGCTGTTCCTGTCCTTCCAGGCTCGTGTGTAGGGGGCTGGAAAAGAGTCGCTCAGCGCTAGGGGGATTTGGGGCTATAATATCTTGGGTCCCTAGGGGCTGCTTTAACTTATGCCAGAGGCTATGCTGGCCTGCAGCCAGGAGCAAAGACGGTGGGAAGCGCTCGTGGCCCATACTGGTCCCAACCCAGAGCCCTGTATTGCTGCGGGAAGCTGCCATGAAAGACAGTCCTTAACTCAGCCAGCTTCCAGTCTCTCCTGGGATACACACCAGACCTTGCTCCCTGCTTTTACCAATGCAAGGCAGCCAGCAAACCCGTTCCTGCCGCATGAAGCGAGTTTCTTTTCAGCTCATCTGATCTCCGTGTCACACCTTGAGTTCTCCTGTTTCCCTCCCCCCCCGCTGCAAAGTGTCCCTTGCTCTGACTTTTCTTGCTACTTTGCTGTGCCCCAGCAGCCAGAGAGCTCATTAACTATTAATACTGCCAGATGCCTCCCTGCGCTCTGCAGTCTCCCCTCACTCTGTTCTCTGTTGCACTAGAATAAATTGTTAATTAAACTGTGCGCCAGCATCCTGAGGCACTCGGTTCCTCACAAGCCCAGGCTGGGTTTAAAAACTTGTAACAAATATTCACCATCACAGAATCCTAGAAAATGAGGGTAGGAAGGGACCTCAGGAAGTCATGTTTAGTCCAACCCCCTGCTCAAAGCAGGACCAGCCCCAACTACATCATCCCAGTCAAAGCTTTGTTTAGCCGGGTCTTAAAAACCTCCAAGGATGGAGATGCCACCACCTCTCTGGGTAACCTGTTCCAGTGCTTTCCTACCCTCCTAGTGAGAGAGTTTTTCCTAATATGTCACTTAAACTTCCCTTGCTGCAACTTGAGCGCATTGCTCCTTGTTCTGTCGTCTGCCCCCACTGAGACCAGTCCAGCCCTGTCCTCTTTGCAACCACCGTGCAGGGCGTTGAAGGTTGCTATTAAATCCCCCCTCGGTCATCTCTTCTCCAGACTAAATCAGCCCAGTTTCCTCAGCCTCTTCTCATAGCCTCTAACCATTTTTGTTGCCCTTCGCTGGACTCTCTCCAATGTGTCCACATCCTTTCTGTAGTGGGGGGCCCACAGCTGGACACAGGACTCCAGATGTGGCCTCACCAGTGCTGAATAGAGGGGAAGAATCACTTCCTTGGACCTGCTGGTAATACTCCTACCAATGCAGCCCAGGATGCCATTAGCCTTCTTCACAGCAAGGGCACACTGCTGGCTCATATTCAGTTTATTGTGTATTGTAACCCCCAGGTCCTTTTCTGCGCAGCTCCCGCTTATCCAGTTGGTCCTCAGCCTGTACTGGTGCATGGGATTGCTCCGTCCTGTGTGTAGGACTTTGCACTTGCCTTTGTTGAACTTCATGAGATTTCTTTTGGTACCATCCTACAATTTGTCTAGGTCTCTCTGAATCCTAGCCCTACCCTCCAGCACGTCTACTACTCCCCACAGCTTGGTGTCATCCACAAACTTGCTGAGGGTGCAAACCAACCCACCTTCCAGATAACTGATGAAAATATTGAACTAAACCAGCCCCGGGACTAACCCCTGGTGTGCTGCTGCCAACTAGATATTGAGCCATTGATTACTACACTTTGAGCCAAGAAATCCAGCTAGTTTTCTATCTACCTTACAGTCCATTCATCCAACCTATACTTCCATAGCTTGCTTGCAAGAATGCTGTGGGAGACTGCACAAAAGCCTTGCTAAAGTTAAGGTATATCATATCCACTGCTCTTCCTGCTTCCACAGATCCAGTCATCTCATCATAGAAGGCAGTCAGGTTGGTCAGGCATGACTTGCCCTTGGTGAATCCATGCCGACTGTTCCTAATCACCTTCTCCTCCAAGTGCTTAGAAATGAATTGCTTGAGGATCTGCTCCATGATTTTTCCAGGGACTGAGGTGAGACTGACCGGTCTGTAGTTCCCCAGATATTCCTTCTTCCCTTTCTTAATGATGGGCATAATATATTTTCCTTTTGGGTATTCCTTGGTTGGAGAAAGACTAAGGGACATCATCCTAACAGAAACCTGCCCTTGCCGAGGCATTTGACAGCAGCAGCAGCTCTGATTTGGTCCTCTCTGGCAGAAGCTACAACCATCAAGACACTGAACATCTGGACTCGGTCTGGCCTTTGGACTCTGTCTCAGTGGTCTTAAGAGAGGATGGTAGGTCTAGGGCACCCTCCACTCCTCCGTACTCTTGCCTAGGTATCCACACTGACGGTCTTAATGTAATGGGTGCATAGACCTCTTGTGCGTGCACCACAATCCAGGGGATCAACAGTTGCTAAGGTATATTACCCTTTTCCATTCATATGGGACCTCTCCCAATTACCATAGGTTTTCAAAGATTATGGCTAGCAGCTTGGCAATCACATCAGCCAACTCCCTCAGCACCCTTGGGTGCATCCTGTCTCGCTCCATGGTCTTTGTCTCGGACGGCCGGAGCCGACTCGAGATGATTCAAATATCACTCGGTCGTTTGGGCGGGCTGGTGAATGGAGAGGCAGACACAGCTTATTGGTTGCAAAAACTTTACTTACGCCGCTTGTAGCCGCGACGCAGGTGGTCCGGTCGCTTGAACAACTATGTGAATTGCTCCAGCTGGCAAGGCTCAGGCCAGCTAATCCATCCACAAATTAAGCCGGCAGGGAAAGGGTACGTCGAGGATTGCGCTCGGCGACGGGGAGAAGAATCGATAGGTGATCAGTCTATCGATCAGCTCAGCCGCAAGTCAGATCTCTTTAGAGGCACTCTGCCGCGTGCTCAAAGTTCTCCGACTTCGGCGGAAGTCGCACGAAATTTTAAACGGCTAGCAAGCCAATCACTAGCCGCCACGTAGGAATAATTTAGAACTGGCCAATAGCGGAACACAAATTTGCAATCAAATGGCGGGAACTCTCTTGCACCGAGGTTTTTCTGTTGCAACAAAAACCTTTTGCTGTGCAAGAGGCTCTCATGTGGCGGGAAAATTCCATCGTGCCGAGGCACCAAAATCACTGGGTTGTGACAGTCTTGTACATGTTCAGCTTTTCTAAATAGTCCCTAACCTATTCTTTCACCAATGGTGGCTGCTCACCTTCATCCCAAACTGTTCTGCCTGGTGCAGTAGTCTGGGAGCTGACCTTGAGTGTGAAGACATGTCAAAAAGGCATCAAGCACTTCAGCCTTTTCCACCGCATCTGTCATGAGGTTGCCTCCCCCATTTGGTAAGGGACCCACACTTCCTCTGACCTTCCTCTTTATTACCCTTCATGTCCCTTGTTAGCTGCAACCCCAAGTGCGCTTTGGCCTTCCTGATTTTTCTCCGTGCAGGTCAGTAAAACCACCTGGGCCGACACCATAGATTCATAGATGTTAGGGTCGGAAGGGACCTCAATAGATCATCGAGTCCGACCCCATCATCGTGGCGTCTCCCCTGCCACCTTCTAGATCATAGTTTATCAGCTGCCGCTGTGGTCATGGCTATTTTTGCACCACCCCACCCCCACAAAGACAGCTGCTGGGGCTGCTGCCCCTGTTGTCTCTCCCCTTAGTTGCACAGCTGCAAAAGACACCCAGTTCCCACATACTACATACTGCAAGGGTGAAACCCTGGTTCCCTTGATAGCTGTGAGGCCAAGATTTCAGCTTTGTTTCCATGTGCTCCGCTGTATCTGCTGAGTGTCTTGACTTGCACTTCAACTGCAAGATCTTTGGGGTCAAACTTTTTTTGTTCTGTTTCTCTAGCATCATCTGGGGTCTTGTACCAGGGCTGGTGCCACTAAAGGCTATCTCAACTGCTGTTACTACAGATAGTTGTCGTAACAATAGCAAATATCATAGAAAAGTCAGGCTGCCTCAGGAATCATAGAAAATGGGGGTTGGAAGGGAGCTCAGGAGGTCACATTTAGTCCAACTCCCTGCTCAAAGCAGGACCAGCCCCAATTAGATCATCCCAGCAGGAAGGCGGTCATTTCTAATCCAACCCCCTGCTCAGGGCAGGATCATCTCGGTCTAAGCTCTCCCAGACACGCGTTTGCTTTTCAAAATACCTGAAGACAGGGAGCAGGCTAGATGAACAGCATGATCTGCTCCATCCAGAACCGAGGAAAATTTGGGGCTTGAAAAATACAGCATATTGGGTTTTTGCAACGGGAGTATCACAGTGGTGATTGGGATTGGACGTTGTCTCACGGGTGAGACACTGGGCATTTCAAGGAACAGCAAGGATGGGCATATCTAAAATCCCGAGGAAGGGAATGGCATTGGATGCTCGAGGGTGTCTTGATCTAAGTGAGATCCACCATTGAAAGACTAACCAGGACCCACCCCTTGTCACCCAGCTGCTCCATGTAGCATGGCCGGCACAGTGGCATGGAAGAGGCGATGTGTCCCCAATCCTCCAAGCTCCTGAAGCCACTTGGGGCAGAGAATTCCTTCTCCGTCGCTGGTAACTCCGGATGTTGGCAGCGGTGGGAGCACTTAGTCTCCCGCGCGGTTACAGAAACAAGGACGCCTTCACACATGCATCAAGTCATTGTGAATGTCATCCAGCCCGGCTGGTTAAATGCATCCCAGACACATTCCTAATAAAAAATTCATAAGCCTCTTCAGAAAGCAATTACACTTAGCGGAGGGGGCAGGACATGACCAAAGGAGCTAACGAAGGACGTTCGGAGAGGAACGGCTTCATGGTCAACAGGTGTGTGAGGTTCCTGCCAAAGCAAGCATCGCCCTCCAGGAAATGTAGACCAAGATCGCCTCATCAAGAGGGGCTCTTGTTAGGAAGGAGCTAATTGACGGCTTTGGAGACTGACACTAGCTGTGGAGACTTTCAAAGCCCTGAAGAGCTTTTAAGTTCTCTTGGAGATGCTCTGGGCCCTTGGACAGGGGCTGGTTGTCTTTGGATGTGGCATCTCTGAGTTTTTCTGAAGAAGCCTATGGGATTTAGGTGCATCAGTCCCATATTGCAACGGGAGAAGAGAATCCCAGCCTAAGAACGCTGGAGAGAGTGTGCTTGTCTTGGGAGAGGGATGCTGGCTTGATCCTAAGGGGAAGGAGAGGTTAATCGATCCATAAGGAGATTTTTGATCTTTTGGACTGCCTCGTCCCAGGTGGTTCTGGGCTGGGCTTGCATGGATCCTGTCTGAGGTGGTGCCATTGCTTCCCTGCCGGATGGGAAGGGGCAGGATGGGTGTCTCGAACAGAATCCCTAATGCTTGCTCTGCCTGTTGTCTATTCAGTCCTTCCCTGATGCCAGGCCTGGTGCCACCACTTGCAGTCCAGGGTCAGGAGGGAGGGAAGCCTTGTAGCCATGGTCCAAGCATCCTGCTTTGGGAGCTGGACCATTGGATGGACAGATACATCTCTTGGTCTTGTTTCCATGCAATCAGATGGGTATAAGGGGACGGGAGAGGCAAAAGTCTTGTTGCTGGGTAGCTGACTGCTTGTATGGGCGAGAGTCTGTAGTAGCTGCCAGTGCTCCTGTGACCTTCGTCTCTTTGTTTGCAGCATGTAGAAAGTCTGAGCCGCCCCCCACAGCGCAGCTCCAAGTGACGCACCATGGACACGGACGCCGTGCAGCCCCAGGAGGCTTCGCTGACAGTCAATGAGCAGGTACCGGCTGCATCACCATAGGGCAGCTCTTGCTAGAGTGGTCAGGCATCCTGGCTGCCCTGGACAGAGCTGGAGCTGACAGCAGGTGTCTCGCTCACTTCTCAGGCCAGGAGGGCCCAACTGAAGGCTTGTTGTGGGGAGAGGGGAGCGATTGAATCCTGCAGGTGCAGCAGACAGAGCAGAGCTTTGCTGTCTCCCTGCATTTGGGACCAGCACTTTGGCAAACTTACTTGCCTGCAGTTCAGCTCCAGAATTCCTATGAGGGCCCCTGCGACAGCACTGGCTCTCAGGTGGGAATTGGCCTCCAGCCTGAAGCCTCAGCTGCTGGACTCCAGGGATTTCACGAGGCTTTCATTGAAAACAAGAACCTTCTTGCCCTCTTTTATGCATGGAGGAGAGCATAAAGCATGAACTCAAAGGGTTTCCTAGGGCACGCTCGTAATGACAACGCACGGTTTGAATCCCAGGAACGTGGCTGGAATCGGAGGGTTTGGCCGCATGGCGGCTATGTCAGAGCCATGATTTGCAACCACGCAAAGCACCCAAAATCAATCCTGGGGACTCGGGACTTGTGCAACGCAGGCCAGTGATTTTGGAGCCTGACTAGGTGCTGAAGCTGTGGCTCTGGACAGGCCTTGCATTTGATTCGGGTTTTTTTCCTCCTTTGGGGTGCATGGGTATCTCTGCTGTTGACCCCCCCCCATGTGACCTTGTCCCCAGGCAGTATGACATCCCCAGGGTTCAGCTTGCCATTCAGGGCACGTCTGTCTGTACTTCAGCCCCTGCCTTCCCCTGGTCATGCTGCACACTTGCAGCCTGAGAACATCTTGCCTGGCTGCACCTCTTCAAGGCCACATCCTAAGCGAGTAGTAATTTGCACTGTTCCCTGTTCGGTCCTGCTGATTGAGGCCAGCTGGAGAATACAGGCCTGTCAATGGAGCGTTACCCATTTGGCCCAGTTGGGAATGTGGCTCAGTCATTTAATGGAGTTAAGTGATGCTGGCTTATACCAGCTTTGACCCATTGTCTTAATGGAGCAGCACCAGGTTACAGGGGCTGCACCTAGCTACCGGAGTGACTGACTAGTCTTCAGCCCTGTAGTCTAGATCAGTAGATAGATCTGAGCCATTTCTGCTTTTCACTTCACAGGCAACATGAAACCCAGAGCATCACGCCCTTGTCTTGCTCATTGCTTCGGGGTCGGGGTTGGGGCCTGTCAAGACCTCCCTGATGCTCGACTCTCTCCTTCCAGGTCATTGTGATGTCGAGCCATGAGACCATCCGAGTGCTGGAGGTGGGAGTCGATGCCCCGCTTCCAGCAGAGGAGGATGGAAAGACTTTGGACGCAGCTGCTGAGGAAGCAGCCAGCAGCTGCCCCTCAGAAACAGGCAAAGCGGGGAGAGAAGAGGTACAGCCGAACCCAGAGACCACATGTGGAGAGACAATCGGTATGGGGCCCTCTCTGCTACGTGGTTGTCTGCCCTGTGGGTTATTGCAATGTAGTGGGAAGCTGCCCAGACCCAGGGCAGTGTTTGAACACTCATGCTTGAGGGCTGCTTCCAGCAAGGGCGGATGGACCTCTCCACTGATTTCCAGTGGGAGGCCAAGATTTCCTCTTGGCTTCATCACAGAATCATAGAAAATGAGGGTTGGAAGGGACCTCAGGAAGGCACATCTAGTCCAACCCCCTGCTCCAAGCAGGACCAGCCCCAACTAGATCATCCCAGCCAAGGCTTTGTCTAGCTGGGTCTTAAAGACCTCCAAGGATGCAGATCCCACCACCTCTCTGGGTAGCCTGTTCCAGTGTTTCACTACCCTCCTGTGCCACAGAGGATGCTTGAGGAGCAGCCTGCAGGTGTGGCAGGGGCTAATTGGGGAGTCTGGCCCTGAGTGCCGCAGGAGAGGAGCTCCTGGCAGCCGGGGTCTTGAGATAACAGCTGAATTGGGGTAAGCAAGGCCAGAGCCCATGGACAGCCAGGCCTTGGAGTGGATAAGCGTGGGAACAGGGCTAGGTGAGCCAGCAGCCTGGAGAGGCAGACCTTCTCTGATGGTTGTGGAAGGGACTGAAGGGAAGGTATGGAGGTCCCAGCTGGCCCAGAGAGAAAGGAAGAGGGGCTAAAAGAAGAGAGGACCTGCAGCTCATAGGGAGAGAGCATGAGCCCATTGAGAAGTGGAGCATGGGGCCAGAGCAGGCTTTGGAAGAGATAAGCCTGGAGCCCAGAGGGAGAGAGCTTGAGCCCAGGAGGGGCTCACTAGAGAGGTCCTGGGGCTTGGGACCTGAAGCCCAGCACAGATGAATGAGTCTGAGCGAGGCCTGGGAGTAAGGCTGGAGCCCGAGCAAAGGGCAGAGAGTGGGGCCAGAGGGCCCAGAGCCCTTAGAGGGGCAAAGCCAGGGGCCAGAGGGCTCAGAGAGCTGTGTGTGGGGCCAAAGGTCTTGACCCGAGAAAGAGGGCTGGCTGTCAGCAGGGCTAGAGAGCCCAGAGGTCTATAGCCCAGGAGGGGCAAGTGTCAGCAGAGCCAAGGGAGCCCAAAGGTCTCACTGGCCCAGGAGATGGGCCACAGGCCAGGAGTCATAGCCAGAGACCAAGGGTGCCAAGGAGCTCATAGCTTAGGAGGGACAAGGACAGGCTGGGAGCCTGTAGCCCAGGAAGGTCATGAGTTAGATCATCTGTGAGGCATGGGAGTGGGTACTGGAGAGGGTGGAGCCCACAAAATTAGCCCTTAAGGCAATGACTACAGACACCTGTGATCATGACAGCACAGTCAGGCGTGGGAAGCTTTAGGGCAGCCTCCCTTTAAATGCTGGGTACATCAAGGCAAGAGGACGAACACAAGAGATGGTTGAGAACATACATGAAGGTGATACCTGCAGGTGATGGAGAGGTTTTGGTGGCAACTGCCCAAAGAGGGTGAAGTGAATAAGGGCTGAGGGGACTTAGCTGATCCCTGTTATCTCCTAGAGAGAAAGTTGTTCCTGATATCCAATCTAAACTTCCCCTTCTGCAACTTGAGATCATTGCTCCTTGTTCTGTCATTTGCCACCACTGAGAGCAGCCTCACTCCAGTCAAAGCAGAGCAGGACTATGAAATACTTCTTCCCTAGGCAGCTCTGTGGTGGTGATACACACTGTTAAATCTCTTCTCCCCAGAGGTTGCTGAATTTCAGTGGTGGGTGGATGCAGGGGGATGCAGACCAGGTCCCTGCTGTTACAGACACCTGTACCATAGCATCTTGAAACCTGCTCTTTTTCCTTTTGTCCCCACTCCTGGGAGGCTGATCCAGAACCTTGATCCTCCGATCTTTAGAGACCTTCTGGTTTCCAGTCTGAATCTAGACATGGCCAGTTTAGATCCATTTTTTCTGGTGCCAACCTTGTCCTTTACCTTTAAATGCTGCTTTGCCCTCCCTGGGATACTTTAACCCCTATAGACAGCAGACCTTTCCCTGCTCATTTTGCTAAGCAAGGTGAGCTCCAAGTGAAGGAAAGAGTTTCGGTTCTATAAGTTATGGGTCTTTGGAGATGAGAAACACTTTATAAATGGAAGATACTGTAGTGACTTTTGTGCTCAGCTGCTTTGGCCGGCGACGGTCATCAGCCTGAGGTTTGAGGAAGGGAAGAGGCATGTCCTGGAACGATGCTTTAATTGCTCTTAGTTTTCAGCAGCAAAGATACGGTCCTGCCCGTTAGCACACACAGGGTGTCTACATGTGCATTTAAGCATGCCTAAATTTAATGCGCATTAGCTTAATGTGCATTAAGTGGGTTTACAAAAAACTAGAACTCTTGGTTCTAAAATTATACCTTTTAGTAGACCAACTGGAAAATGGCAAGAAAATTGTCCTTTTCTGCTTTAAGTGGGTTTTTTAAGTGGGTTAGGCAGACATCTACATGTGCAAGCGTTAAAGAGCATTAACACTGTGTGTGGACTGACTTGGCATTAAAGTTTGTTCCCAATCAGACCACACACACAGCATTAACGTGCTTTAATGCATCTACCTGTGCGTTAATGCACTTTTAAGTATCTGTGCCTAAGTTTGATATCTGCATTTGCAGGTATCAAATGTAGGCACGATTAGCCCAAAATCGCCATTTTTAAAGCGCATTAAGGTCATGCACCTATAGATGCACGCCCTAATGTGCCTTAAATTTAGGCTAATGCGCCTTAAAGCATCTCGTGTAAACGCGCCTGCATTCTCCGTGTGCCTTTCACTGCCAGCTGGGTAAATTGACTGGAGCTCTGGCTACAGATCTCACAAACTGCAGTACCTAGGTGGACCATCCAGCAAACTGCAGTACCTGGGTGTGGTCACAAGGTGTCACCTTGACTGTGCACTGTGGCAGCTGCAGGACATAAGATGCCAGAGAGGGAGGTGTGAACAGAGGCAGAATAAAGAGGAGCAAGGAGGGAGCCAGCAGGAGCACTTCCAGCCATCCCATAGCCCTGAAGCAGGCTTCTTAGTGGGTAAAACCGGAAATGGGCCAAGCGACATCCTCTTTCTGTGCCTCAGTTTCCCCAGCTGTGCAGTGGCAATAAGGCTACTGAGCTCCTTCGTAAAGCACTTTGTTGCCGACCAGTGAAAATCCCTATATTTTGCTTTTATGATCCGAAGAGCAGGTGGTTGAAAAAGGCAGATGATATTAGGCATGGCATTACAATTATTTGTCTCAGTTGTTGTCAACAAAGCTCAAGTTCAGCATAGAAAATCTTTTCTCCTCCAATATTTTCTGCAAAGACAAGGGAGGAAACAGCCGCCCGCCCAAATAGATCAGAGTCACGAAGTGGTTACAGTCAATAGCTGCCTAATTTGTAATCAGGACAGAACGAACACAAGAGATGGTTGAGAACATACGTGAAGGCGATAAATGCAGGTGACGGAGAGGTTTTGGTGACACTTGGAGAGAAAGCTTCCGTATGTTAACCATGCTAAAAATAAGATGTCGAAAGTAGAGTTTGTAAGGATGTTGAGGTGGGGGTTGAGAGCCTCAGAGGAACATCTGAACTGAAAATGACTCAAACCCTTGAACTGAGAAAACCCAAAAAATATTTTGTGCAAGAAATTTTAACAATATTTTTCACCTTCTAAGGTTGTCTTTGATTTAAATAAAAAAAAAAAAAGCAGAAAATTGCAACTTTCCAAAATTCTGCTTTGGTTGAAAAGCCATGTTTATCTTCAGTAAAATACATTAAAATAAAATCAGGCTGTTCCAATGTGAAAATCTGGTTCTGAAGCCATGCTGGAAGTTGGATTCCCACCTGGAGGCTCCTCGGTGCTGCTAGAGGCAGCTGGGAGCTGAGCTTTTCCAGCTGTGAAAGACATTCCTGTGCTCTGGAAACACAGAAAGGGGGCTCTGTGAAGCTGCCATGTGGCCAATCCTGCTCATGATCTCAAGGAACTGGCTTGCAAAAGCCCACGACACTCATAGCACCATGTTCCTCAAGGTTTAGCTTCCCACCAGCCAGCCTGGCTCAGTTACCTGCTATGCGCTCAACCCCTTTAGGGGCGAGGAGAGCTCCCACTCCAAACAGTCTTACCCCTCAGTGTGGGGATGGGACTCCTAGATCTCAAAAGTATGAGCCTTCGATATCGGAGCCAAAATAATCCAGTTGTAGTGATTCAGCACCGGTAACGTGCATATACAATACCCCACTGGAGGGGGACAGAAAGCAGCACTGCAAGGCAGACCCTAATAGTGAGGACACCCCCTGGCACAGAGGACACCTGGGCTCCATTCCCTGCTCTGCCATTGAATTACTATTTGACCTCTGGCAAGTTATTTCCTCTTCCTGAGTCTTAGTTTCCCCACCTGTGAAATGGGCATCATGACCCCAAGCTGGGCTGTAAATTATGTTACACTGTACCGATGGCCATAGCTAGAGAAGGGCTAGGGGCTGCTGTTACTGGGAGCGACAGATTCTCTTGAATTTATATTATTCCCTCCTTTCAAGGCAAAGTCAAATCGTTGCCTGGAATAGCAGCCACCAGCGTCCCATCTGTCAGCACCTTCAGCCAAGTCACAAGCCAGCAGACGCAAACCTTAGCCCCTGTAACAGTGCAAGCCACACCACAGGTAAATACCCAGCGTTTGCGTGGGTGGGGTGGGGTGGGGATTAGTAGGTGGAGCGGGTTGGGGTTGCTTATAGCACATAGTCACTACTAATGATTGGGGCTGTAACTCTGCCGGGGGCTGCAGAGATGCACCTGCTGGGACCACTCCCAGCAGTGCACTGGGCACTATGCTGCAGTTGTGACCGTGGGACATAAGCTTGGAGTCTTGTTCCACCCCCAGGCCAGCCTCCTCCATGCAGTGCCCTGCAAACAGGGCCTGAGAGGCTGCTGCCCACAAGCCCAAAAGTGCCAGTCCGGCAGTAATTTCACAGCTGGGCTCTGGAGGGCTCCCGCAAGCTGGAAACCCAGCTGCAAAGACGGGAGCGATACCAGGTGCAGGCCGGGGGCGGGCAGGCCTCCCCTGCCGGTGCCAGGTCTCGCCGGGGCTCGCGCGCTGAGGCGGTCTGCAGTGGCGTTGATGTGTTCTTTTTTCTTTTTGAAATCTTGTTTGCTTTTGCAGGTCTTGACTCAGGAAAGCTTAGCAACAGTTGTGACAGGAGTAATGGTTCCCGCAGGGGCAGTTACTCAACCTCTTCTTATCCCCATCAGTATTTCAGGTCAAGTGGCAAGTCAGCAGGGACTGGCTGTGTGGACATTTCCTACAGCAACGGTCGCTGCCCTTCCTGGACTGACGGCTGCTTCTCCTACAGGGGGAATTTTCAAACCGCCCATAGCCAATCTGCAAGGTAACGGCCCCTCCTCCTGTCACGGCGAAGCTCTGAAGGGGCACGTGGGGTCTTCTGTGTCCCCAGCTCCCTCCAGCCTCAGAAGGGGGGAAACAAGGCCTTATCCAGCACCCTAGTTGGGCCTCAGGCCCCCTCTTCAGGCTGGTGCTGACTGGCAAGACGCACAAAGCTAAGGCCAAGCAGAGCTGTGTAGGCTGAGCCCAAGAGCCAGCTTTCAGATGCTGTCTGCTGATGACATTTCTGAGACCCCAGGCTAGCCCATTTTGCTGGCTGGGTGGAACTGAGCTCGGAGCAAAGCGCTGCTGAGAGGTTTACGCACCCCTTAAGTTATGCACCACCTTAAGGCCCCAACCTGTGCACAGGGGTGAATTGTACCCCCTTGATTCTTTCTGCCAAGCTTCGGACTGGCCTCTTTCCCAGGGGAGCCGCGCAGATGCCTCACCCAGTGGCTCTTAGTGCTCAGGACCCACCAGGCTTTAGCTGGTCCCCGCTGGGTTCTCCCTGGTCTCTGATATGGTTTCCTTAATAGCATGGGAAGAGATGGGGCTTGTTCAGATTCCCCTTCATTTTAGAGACACTGCTGTTTGTGATCCTTGCTTTTTGCCAACTCCCTGGGAAAGGGGAGGCAGATCTGCCTCCCAGCAAGGAGCTGGTGGCAGAAGGAGGATGGCTTGGTGGAAGGGAGGTGGGATTGGGACTAGCCAGCATGCATATAGCTCAGCTGGGGGATGATCTTCCCATGACCAAAGTGTTTCCAGTGCTCTGGAGACAAGTGTGACCTGCCCTTGGTCACTCACAGGTGCTGATATGAGAATGACCTGGTCTGGGTGGGTAGAGCACTGGGCTAGGACTTGGGACTCCTGGGTCCCTTTCCCAGCTGTGCTGCCAGCGTACTGGGTGATCCCAGGCAGGTTATTTCCCCACTCTGTGTCTCAGCTTCCCTATCTATAAAATGGGCATAAGTCTCCCACTCCCTTTGCAGAAGGCTTTTTGCTTTCCCAGTGACAGTCATCCTTCAGCTCTTCTGGGCAGTCAGGATGGCTGGAAACATACTTGCAGTTGTTTATGTGAAGCTGAAAAATGCTTTATGTAGTCTCATGAAACTAGGAAGTGGGGCTGTATTGGGGCTCAGACTTGCAATAAACCCACGGGTGACAGCAGCACCTCCAGTCAGCCACAGCCCTGCCCTAAAAGCCACCTTTCTGCATCCCCCTTCCCAGTGCCAGACATCTAAAGGACAGAGAAGAAGCTGGTGCTGGTGCAGAGATAAGGATGGTCACTCACCGGTTTGGAGGGCAGGAAAGGCAACCCCCATAGTCAGTCTATAGGGAGTGAGCAGGTGGGAGGCAGCGGGGCTGGGCTGGAAGGACCTTGCAATGCCAGGAGTGTGCAGGCAGGATGGGGAGGGAGACTGATGCACAGCAGTTGTTCCAACTGCCACCTCTGCTTTTCTTCCAGCCGCCACGGTGCTGAACACGGCCATCCCGGCCCCTGTGGTGCCAGCCCAGCCCCTCCCGGCTCAGCAAACAGTGCAGCCCCGGCCTCCTCTCCAGGCACCGCCTGTGTTCCAGGCTCCGCCGGTGGTGCAGAGCCAGCCGGCCATCCTGCCACAGCCCACCACAGCATCCGCACCACCTGTGGCCAAGCCGGTGGAAACCCAGACGCAAATCACGGTCCAGCCCGCGGGATTCGCCTTTAACCCGGGAATAGTAAGGGGCTGATGTCACCATTTGAGTGGGAGGCAGCATGGGCTAGTGGATAAAGCGCAGGCCTGGGATTCAGGAATCCTTGGTTGTTTTCTTGACTCTGCCACTGACTTGCTGAGTAACCCCAGGCAAGTCACTTCACCTCCCCAAGCCTCAGTTTCCTCAGTGAGGCTGCTGCCTTCCTTTGTAGAGCATTTTGCAGTCATTGGAGGGTAAGAGGAAGGTGTTGCTGTGGTGCCAGGGGTTTTCCTCTGCCAAGGTGGGGGCTGGGGGAAGCAGCGGGTTGGCCTTAGAGCTGCCAGCCCAGAGCAGAGACAGGCTGGATGCTCGTAGATTTAGGCAAAGACTTCAGAACAGCCCTCGAGACCCCTGGTTACCTGGGAGAGTAAGGAGGGTCTTGGGAGAGCCTAGTTCAAATCGCTATTCTGCCCCAGGCTCTGCATGACAGTAGCTAGGTCACTAAGGCGCCGGCCTTCCAGGTCAATGGCACTGCAGTGTCTGAATACCCATACGGCTGTGGGCCTTGGCACCTCTGTGCCTCACATACAGTGGCCTTTTACAGGCCTCCAGCATCCACCTGAAGGTGCATACAAGTGAAGGCTGTGAAGTGTTCAGATGTCCCCAGGAGAGGTCCCAGAGACCTCCATGAGCCTTCCAGTGGACAGGGTGAAAGCCCCACAGCCTAGGGCAGGGGTGGCCCACCTGCAGCACGAGTCCCACGGACCACCTCTATGTGTGACATGCAGCAGATCAGGAAGGGGACAAGCAGCACAGTGATAGATCAGGCAGGGAGCACAGGGCAGGAAACAGAAAGCAGAGCAGCATGTTGGGCAGGGGAAGGGGATCAGAGTGATGTGCGGGACTAATCTGTGGCACTCCCGCCAGAATGGCACTGTAACCCAGTGAGGGTTGACTGGAGGGAGTGATGTGACAAGCCTCACCACTGCCATGCTGCTGAGCACTATAAAGGGCTGGAAAGCCCCTCCCTGCCAGGGGCATCAGTGAAGGTGAGGGACACATGGAGTACGGCTGCCTCTGTCTTACCCATGTCCTGCTTCCTCTGCAGATCAGTGCAGCCTCCCTCGGTGGACAGACCCAGCTGCTTGGCTCCCTGGCAGCTGCCCCAGTGATTGCAAACACCATTTCCAGCATGCAGGGGATCACAAGCCAGATCCTGACCAATGCCCAGGGGCAGGTGGGTCAAGCCAGGAACCCAGTACCCAACCCTGCCCTCCCACCAACAAAGCAGGGGGGACCTGAGAAGGGGAAAAGAATCGTGGAGTGGGGGGCTCTATCGCATCCCAGTGCAGGGAGGGAAAGGTTTTAGTGCAACACCCCCATGATGCCCGTGTTCACCCCTCCCCAGGTCATTGGGACGCTGCCATGGGTGGTAAACCCCACTGGCCTTGCAGCGGCCAACCCCACCCCGGCCGCCCTGCCAGCCCAGAACTTGCAGCTACAGACAGTAACGCCGCAGCTGCTCCTCAACGCTCAGGGGCAGGTCATTGCCACACTGGCCAGCAGCACCATTCAGACAGCCGCCATCAAGAAAACCAGCGCCCCGGAGCCTCCCATTAAGAACGAGGTGAGCTTGGGACACTGGGTGTCAAGCCAGACACCTTTCCCTGCTGCAGTGCGCATGGCCATGTGCTTTGGGAACATATCTAGACCTAAAGCCACAAACCTGTGGCCGCTCCCAGAGGCCTGATGAAGTTGGTGAATTGGATATTGGCCCTAAGAAGTGTGAACCCATCCCCAAATATGTGGTGTCTCTGCCAGGGACCAGCACCATGACTGTGGGCTGAATCTTGGTGGCAGCTGAGCCCCAGAATGGACAGGGAGCCCCATGTCAGAGGTCACTGGTTTTCCTGGGACCTCTCACAGTCAGGCCAGACATACAAGCAAGACAAAGCCCTGGGAGGCATGAATGGAAAAGCTGCCTAAGTAACCTGAGTGTAGCTGGGCTGATTGCCTCCAGGCCAGTCTGGACCAGCCTTGGCCCTGAGATAAGCCTGGAGCTGTTCTAGCTTATACTGCTGACATCTGTGTATTAGCGCAGCATGCTGGCAAAGAGCGGGGTGAGTGGCTAGTGCTCTACCCCAGCTGAGAGCTCTCCCCCACTCTTTCTCTCTCTGCAAAATACACCTATCTAGCCCTCCCTGAGGGGATTCTGAGCCTTGTTCCCTGTGTTACCAGGTCCAGCCAATCCAGCCAGCCCCTGCTCTGACCCAGCCAGCTGTGGTCATCGCCAACCCAGCCCCTGTGGCCAAGCCGTCTTCTGCTCCCGTTCCCGTCACGTGCTCAGAGACCCAAACCGTGAGCCAGCTGGTTTCCAGTAAGCACCTCTGGAGTCCTACCAGTTCAAACATATGCACCACTGTGATGCACTTGGCGAGTTTGGGAGGAAGTCCTGAGTTGGCCCCTTCCATAGGAGTTGGGAGGGGAAGTGAGGAGTAGTGAGCAGAGCACAGGGCAGGGGCCAGTGTTGTGTTCCCATGTATAGCCTTGGCTGTTCCCTGTGCTGGTGCAGCCTGAGCTGAATCTGATTCTTTAGCGTTCTGCATAGTGTGTCACTGCCCCAAACGGATCCCTGTTACCCCCAGAGACGGGGCAGGTCAAACCAAGGGAGAATAAGCATCTCTGCTTCCACAGCAGGAGATGTAGCATTGGCCTCTGGCTCAAGACACCTAGATTCTGTTCCTTTGCTGGCCTGTTGGATCAGAGAGAGTCCCTCCCTCGCTTTATGCCTCAGCTCCTCTCCTGGGCAAGTGATATGGCCAAGAAATTAAGGCAATAGAAGTGAAATTTGTTGGGGACCCCATGCACAGGTTTGAGTCCTGTCAGCTATGGGCTAGGGTGTCTCTTTCTGTGGGGCTGGGCTCTTTTGTGGTCATTTTAGCAGCACATATACTAAAATTGGAACGATGCAGAGAAGATTAGCATGGCCCCTGCAGAAGGATGACCTGCAAGTTTGTGAAGCGTTCCATATTTTTTTTGGAGCTGGATGGTTCTCAGTGGTGGCAGATGACAGAACAAGGAGCAGTGGTCTCAAGTTGCAGCAAGGGAAGTTGAGGTTGGATATTAGGAAAATTTTCTACCTAGGAAGGTAGTAAAGCATTGGAACAGGTTACCCAGAGAGGTGCTGGAATCTCCATCCTTGGAGGTTTTTAAGACCCGGGTAGACAAAGCCTTGGCTAGGATGATGTAGTTGGGGCTGGTCCTGCTTGGAGCAGGGGGTTGGACTAGATGTGACCATCTGAGGTCCTTTCCAACCCTCATTTTCTATGATTCTTTGTCTCTCCCTGCAGTACTTAGCACAGCAGGGCCTGCTTCCACTTCAAGCTCTCTCTCTTGATCAGAAGGGATGGGGAGGAGGGCAACCCTGCTAGGAAGTGGGGCCTGCTCCCACTTCGAGGTCTCTCTCTTGGTCAGGGGGGATGGGGATTCAGGGCGGATGATGTCCTTGCTAGGAAGTGATATGTGGCCAAGTGAACCGCATGGCCTCACAGCTCCACCTGCTTCCAGAGCCCCAGACTCCCAGCACTGGCGTCGACGAGGACGGCATCAACCTGGAGGAGATCCGGGAGTTCGCCAAGAACTTCAAGATCCGCCGCCTGTCGCTGGGGCTGACGCAGACACAGGTGGGCCAGGCCTTGACAGCCACGGAAGGGCCAGCCTACAGCCAGTCTGCGATCTGCAGGTGAGCCGGGGCCGGGGCTGAGCTGGGCGGCTTAGGGTGGGCAACACTGAGCCCCTGCTTAACTGTGTAGCCTACCCCTCAGGAAGGACGATAGGATAAAAAGGAGCCTGGGCTCTCTGGGCTTCTCTTTCAGGAGACTAGCTGTGAAACACACCCCCTCCCCATCCGCTCACCACAGGCACCAAACCCCAGTGGAGAGACGTGTTAGTGCCTGGGCACAGCACTGGGACACATACTCCACATTGCAATCTCAGGCATGCTTTTTGGCCTCGGAGCCAGGAACAGAACCCAGGCATCCTGACTCTCCCATGCTTCCCAGACCCCTGATGCTTGGCCCTGTCTCCCCTTTCTGCCATGCCCACTCAAAGCAGGGACTAGGGTCCAGGAGATCTGATAACAGGTCTCCCACTGCTTTAGCTACTCTGCCCAGAACTAGGGAAGGAAGCCTAATACCTCCCGGTAGTGTGGATTGACCCAGAGCCTTGAGGCGCTCGTAGAACTGTCCATCAATGCTGGCCCCTATTGCCATCACCTTTCCTCGCCAGCCTTTTGTCTTGCTGGCCTTACATGGGTCAGTAACTGGCTCAATTTTTGCCTTTGGGCCCTGTTGGCTGCTTCCTGAGACTGGGTGGGCCTCATGAGCCTTCTCCTCCCCACAACCTCACCTGCAGGTTTGAGAAGCTGGACATCACGCCCAAGAGTGCCCAGAAGCTGAAGCCAGTGCTGGAGAAGTGGCTGAGCGAGGCGGAGCTGCGGAACCAGGAAGGGCAGCAAAATCTGATGGAGTTTGTGGGTGGCGAGCCCTCCAAGAAGCGCAAGCGCCGCACGTCCTTCACGCCCCAGGCCATCGAGGCGCTCAATGCTTACTTCGAGAAAAACGCCCTGCCCACCGGGCAGGAGATCACTGAGATCGCCAAGGAGCTCAACTACGACCGCGAGGTTGTCCGGGTCTGGTTCTGCAACCGCCGGCAGACGCTCAAAAACACTAGCAAACTCAACGTCTTTCAGATCCCCTAGGCCTAGGGGGTGGGCAGGTGGAGACGGCCCCCCCACCCCTGCAACTTGCCTCCCCCTGGGATCTTGCCCTGAGCACTTTGTGACTGCCTTTCCCCTGGCCCTGCCCCAGCCAGTGACTGTCGTGGCGGGTGGGCGGATTCCTTCCCCACCGTGTGCATATATGTTCATGCCCCTTCTGGTCCTTGCGTCCGCATTGGACTTCGTGCCTAGCCCCTTCTTCCTCTTCCTCCTGAGTGTAACCCTGTGCGTGGTGCTGGAGCTCCCTCCCTGCAAATACCACCTCTTCCCCCTTCCCCCCAGGGCAGGAGGTCACTGGTCTGCATTTCCATGTCAGACAAAGCTTCTAGCCCTGGGAGCTTTGTTCCAGCAACTCTTGAAGGCCACACAGGGGCCAAGCCAGGGAGATGGGAAACATTTTAATTGCAATCCCTGTTTATTTTTAATCCCCTCCTCTTCTCCCGGTGTGATAGCAGGTTCTTGGGATCTAACAGCATCCTGGGGGATAGCTTATTTTATACCCTCTGCCCTGAGACTAGGCTTTCTAAACAGTACCCAGCAAACGACTTTAAATTGAAGTTATTAATGTGACTAGCTGCTAGGGCTGGGGGTGCCAGCAGTAATTAAAGAGCCAGCTGCTCCCCTACTAACCTCGTTTGCTGGAGGAAAACAGTCCTGGCATTTAGCTCCCCACCCACTCACCCACCCCCCACAAACCCTGGAAAACAAATGGTTACATTGCACTAAAGGGGAAAGGGCTGGCTGAGGCAATTGCTTTGTTCGCTAATTGGGTTGATTGAAATAGGCAGGCGCTAAGCCATTAGCATGCTCCATCTTCTTCCTGTTTGTATCAGCTCCAGTTAATTGTAGCACTGGGAATTCGAACCCAGGCCCTCCAGCAACATGGGCCTTGTGGGGCAAGTGTGGGTTGTCCAGGGTATAGCACCCAATGGGGTGCTAAGCTTAACCTTGGAGAGTGGCTTTGACTAGAAGGGTGACAAGCTGGAGTCCTTGTGGCTCAGAGGGCTGAGGAGGTGGCAGCTGCCCCCCATGTGCTGAGAGAAGAAAGCTGATGGATTGTCTGGTTGCATTTGGCCCTTGATGAAGGGACCCCCACATAGCAGCCCCTCCTGCTTCGCCTGGGAGAGTGGTCCTTAGGGCAAGGACTCAGCTTGTGACTGTCTTCATCCCTGTCCTTTAGATCATGGCAAGGGAATGGGCGAGGGGGGCAGACAAAATCCACCTCCAGTGCTGAGCACCGTACCTAGACTCCCGGTGGCCCCAGGTGAACTTTTAGTATCAGGCCCCACTTCGCCAGAGATAATGATAATAATAATTAAAAAATTACCATTTTCCGGCCTCCTTTCTGTCCCAGCCCTGGGCGGCCTGCATCCGGCCCTAACAGTGCTGAATTATAATGGGCACCTTCCCCATCAGCTGCCATTCAGCATTGCCTCCAGTCACCCCTGCCCAGCCTGTGATGTCCCTGCAAGTGTCTGTAGCTGGCAGGTAGGGGCAGGCAAGAGGGTCTCATCCAGAGATGGGTTTGACAGAAAAGCAGGACAGAGCTGAAGAAACAGTGGGTATCAGATCCCTGCAGGCAGAGGAGGCCAGCAGCACCCGCCTATGTCTTGAGTATAAGAAAGCAGCAGGAGGTGTGTTTGCCAAGTAGAAGTGTAAAAGCCAAATAGAGAGAGAGAGAGAATTGCACAATAATCCTTAACTGAAAGTCTGGGGAAAAGCTGGCACGGTGCTATCTCTCCTGCTATCATCCTTGCAAACCTCGAAGAGGTAGCGCTGCTTCACCTTGGCCTATGCTTTAAAAAAACAACCCCTGAGGTCTAATTTCCAATCCCAGAATAGATCACTAGAAGTCATTCCCGGGGACAGGAGCTTTGGTCTGCCTGTGAGTTAATCGGAGATGGAATTGGAATGGTTCCATTTTGCAGCCAACGGCCAACCTACAGGGGAGATGGAGAGAAGAAATTATTTAATAGTCCTCAAGGAGGAGACATTGAAAGGCATCCTGTGCTTTAGAGGTGGGGTCTTCACCAGCAGAAGATCCCACCAACCCTTCTCCAACCTAGGATGTGGATGGTGGCTATGGCTGTCAGGCTGAATATTGAATCACAAGGAAATTCAGGGCAAATCATTCTGCCAGTGGAAATCTCAAGAGTCCTTTCCCTGAGCCATCCCCCTATCATGACAGCAGAGACAAGGTCTCTGCTCTAGCATGGAGGAGGCTGGTGTTACCATAAGCAGAAATGCTCTGGCTTGGTGCTACCATAAGTAGAAATGCCTCCAGGCTGTGTTGAGCTGAGCTGCGGACTGGGGAGACCATCAGCATGTCTGATTTAATGCACCTTTGTTGGGCAACAGTGTCTGCATGTCTCTGACTATGCCTAAGGAAATTGGGAGATTTCTGTTCCTCAAGGATTTCTCCTTGCTTGGCAAGCTGGCTTTGATGGATGCCTTGCTCTGTTCCCTGTGCTGAGCTGGGGATGCAGCTCTTAGGGCGAGACCAGCCAATCAAGCCTCGCACCGGGCAGCTAGCATGGCGATGAGGCATATACCACCTGGGGTCTTCCAGCAACACCCCAATGCTTGTCCTTGCCTGTAGAAGAGCCTCCAATCCAGGGGAAATACTTGGATCTGCCCAGAGAAAGTGGAGAGGTGAGTATTTGTCAGGATGCACCACTTCTTGGAACAGGCCAAATTGGTGAGTTAGGATTGAATAACCCCCTAACAAACATGAGAAGCTTGGGCTGTTCAAGGAAGTGTTTGGTGCTGTGCAGGTGATGAAGGAGGGAGAAGGCTGGGGGCACTAACACTTTCATATTGTCTGTACCCCAGGGAGGGTGTATACCACGTCATCAGAACCTGCTGTGTTATTGCCTGCATCCAAGCCCCTGTTCTCCTGGGCTCCCCCACCTGGATCACCCTTGCTGGGCACGCTGGGCCCCCTCGCTCCCATGTAATGCCACGTTGGAGAGGTGCTGTTGGATTTTATGAGCTGTGGGGAGAGGTAGGGGGCCACCAGAGGTCTGGCCGATGGTTCTTGCTGCCATGGCCATGTCAGACTAATGCACTTGATGTAGTCATGTGAAATAAACAGTATTTTTCTTTTTTCAACCCCCCCTTGTCTTTAATTGGTGAGAATCTGCCTGAGGTTTGTATGGTCTGTGAATGGGTTTTGGGCAGGGTGAGAAGGGGGGCAGGAACGGGGCGCACAAGGCAATGACACTAACGTGGGGAGAAGTGGGCACGCTGGAGGAGAGGGACAGGCTGCAACTAGATCTAGACAGATTACAGGTGTGGGTGGATGAGAACAAGATGGGTTCAACACTGACAAGTGCAGGGTGTTGCACCTGGGGAGGAAGAACCAGCAGCACACCTACAGGCTGGGGAACTCCCTTCTCATCAGTGCAGAGGCAGAAAAGGATCTTGGAGTCATTATTGATGCCAAAATGAACATGGGCCGACAGTGTGGGGACATGGTCAGGAAGGCCAACCGCACCTTGTCATGCATCCACAGATGCATCTCGAGCAGGTCCAAGGAGGTGATCCTCCCCCTCTACGCAGCACTGGTCAGGCCGCAGTTGGAGTACTGTGTCCAGTTCTGGGCGCCGCACTTCAGAAGGGATGTGGCCAGCATCAAGAGGGTCCAGACGAGGGCCACCCGCGTGATCAGGGGGCGGCAGGGCAGGCCCTACAAGGAGAGGTTAAGGGACCTGAACCTGTTCAGCCTCCACAAGAGAAGGCCGAGAGGGGATCTGGAGGACGTCTACAAACTGGCCAAGGGGGACCAGCAGGCAATGGAGAGTCCCTGCTCCCCCGAGCAGTACCGGGAGTAACGAGGAATAATCGCCATAAGTTGATTGAAAGCAGGTTCAGGTTCAGGCACTACTTCACAGTCAGGGTGGCTAGGATCTGGAACCAACTTCCAAGGGAAGTGGTGCTGGATCCTACCTTGGGGGTCTTCAAAAGGAGGCTGGATAATCACCTTGCCGGGGTCATTTGACCCCACTACTCTTTCCTGCCATGGCAGGGGGTCAGACTTGATGAGCTGCTCAGGTCCCTTCCGACCCTAACAACTATGAAACTATGAATGTCCATCCTAGAGCAGCTCTCCCTGCTTCTGCCATGGTGAAGCAGTGGGCTCAGGCCAGGAGGGAGGGATTCTCAGCTCAGCCCAGATCCTCCTGGCCTGGTCAAGGAGTCCTCCAGGAAGCCAGTGGGTTCAGTGAACCCTGGGTAGATTCCCTCCTCTCCATTATCTTCCTATCCCCACCCCACCCCCAGCATAACTCTTGGAAGGGACACACACTGCCTCGTATTAAAACCTCTGGTGATCTAAATATGACCTCGGGAAGCACGGCTGCTTCTGCCAAAAGGCACTAGAGAGCCCCAAAAGGCCTCACAAGGGGCAGGATCCAGATGTGCTGGGTGGTGGATGTGGAGCAGGATCCAGATGTGCAAGGTGGTAGACTTAGGGCAGGATCCAGATGTGCTGGGCAGTGGATTTGGACCAGGATCCAGATGTGCCGGTTCTTTGACTTGGAGCAGGATCCAGATGTGCCAGTTGTTTGACTTGGAGCAGGATCCAGATGTGCCGGATGGTGGATCTGGAGCGGGATCCAGATGTGCTAGGTGGTGGATTTGGAGCAGGATCCAGGTGTGCAAGCTGGTAGACTTGGGGCAGGATCCAGATGTGCCGGGCAGTGGATTTGGAGCAGGATCCAGGTGTGCCAGTTGTTCGACTTGGAGCAGGATCCAGATGTGCTGGATGATGGATCTGGAGCAGGATCCAGATGTGCTGGGCAGTCGATCTGAAGCAGGATCCAGATGTGCCGGGCGGTCGATCCGGAGCAGGATCCAGATGTGCCGGGCGGTCGATTTGGAGCAGGATCCAGATGTGCCAGGCGGTCGATTTGGAGCAGGATCCAGATGTGCCGGGCAGTCAATCTGGAGCAGGATCCAGATGTGCCGGGCGGTCAATCTGGAGCAGGATCCAGATGTGCCGGGCGGTGGATTTGGAGCAGGATCCAGATGTGCCGGGCGGTCGATCTGGAGCAGGATCCAGATGTGCCGGGTTATTGACTTGGATCCAGATGTGCTGGCTGGCGGCGATGGTAGATTTGGAGCTTCGGGCGGGAAAGCAAAAGTGCACCCGACTCGCGGCCCCGCTGGGATAAAACGGCGATCTGAAAACTATTTCCATCCGTTTCCACCACTGTCTTCGGCTTTCAGGGACCCGATGCCGGGCGCCGCGTACCCCCCAGGCCAGCCTGGACCCCCCACCCCACCCCACCCCACCCCACCCCCAGGTCGGACTGGGACTGCAGAGCAGGGTTTGCCACCAGATGGCATCCTGGTCCACATCCTTTTTGCAAGGTGGTGAAAAAAATGAATACCGCCCCCCCAAAAAATAAAAAATTCAGAGCTTGCTGAGCCCGGACGATTTTCGAGGCTGGCGGGAAGGAGGGTTGCACGGCCCGGTGCTCTCCAGGCAGGAGGGAGGCAGAGATCAGGCCTGTTTTTTTAATCCCCAGATCATCAGGGTTCAATTCTGTAAGGGGGGGGGGGAACTTTTTGGGGGCTGGGGGGCAGGCAGTCACAAAGG